ATTCTATGCGTGCTTACACACCATGAAATTCATACCTGATGTCGTTGTTTAACAAGCAACAAACAGCTTCCCTCTTTCCCAGAACCACCGTATAAGGGCATCGAAATCCCGGGGTCGGTCGAACTGTAGCTGTGACGTCATCGTGGGGAGGTCAACTCCATTTCACTTTGCTTACATTGCATTTAATCCACATAACAAAGAAGTAGGGTTTCAGGTATCTTCGGTATTTACAAATTACAAAACTGGATGTTAATTTGGTGGCGAAAGAGGCAGGAGTGGGGTTTGGTCAGACGAGAGAGTGATGTGTGTCATTGCTTCAGATTTCCAAGCGCAAGGTCCGATACCGGCAAGACCATAATCTGGATGCGGCGATGTCAGGATAGTTAAAATGGAAACCGAAGCAGTATTCTGTTTCGTGGTCCTGTCATTTTGAGGCATCTGACTAAGAAGACTTAGTATAATATATAATGTATTCATTCTGAAAACAAACCGTGACTGAGTACTGTCGTAGAACGATAACCACGCAAACTTGGCTGTCCACACGTGTGTATATTTGGTACACGTTGGATATACCTTTTTCACATATTCAAGGCTGTACTGAGTGCTAAGCCCATGCATGTATAGTAATTCTATCCTTTAAAGAGGCAAGTCTAGATTAAGGACCCCAGTCTGTTATTCATATTTTGTTTAGAAATTATCACTTAAACTATTCATTATTACCTTATAGACTTGTGCAAGTCTACTATTTCGTTTATGATGTAGTATGTGTTTAACTCTGCAGGATGCTTCTCTTATTCTATTTACAAAACATGCAGGTTGAACCTTTCTAATTTGTTATACGTCTTTGAATTAAAGAATTCTATGTATGCACAGTATTTGTAAGCAATAAATTAATCGAGTTCACACAAGTTTATTCTCATAAAACCGTACTTTATATGGATGGTTTGAAATGAAAAAACCCAACATTCTTCTGACATGTGATTGATCGTCTCAACTTCATGGATGTACCTTGCTTTCCTCGCCACGCTCAAGGGTACACTAGCCATGGGCCTATGTTGATGAGGACGTATCAACTGAGCAAACATTCAAAGTTTTCATGACTCACACTGTCATAGAAAACACTAGTAATGTTCCAAACACAAGACAGTCAACTCTCCATTGAGGTCACGTGACACCTCTCCGGAACACGTGCAGGTTTTTAACGCTTATTATTATTAATGTAAATTTTAAAATCCTTTCATTACTCATGTGGTATCAAAGAAGTCTTCACATACAGCTCCATCTGAATGCATCTCAGTTGGGCAGGGGATTCAGTACATGACTCATATGTGTGCAACTCTGCAGTAAAGGCTTCTCTTATTGTATTTACATGCAAGATGGACATTCTACATTTTCGCGTCGTCTTTAAATTACACTGTATGCACAATATCGGTAAGCTATGAAATTAATTGAGTTCTCATTTAAAAAGAAAAGACAGGTTAATACTCGCCGGATAAAATCGCAAATACATATGTTCGTCTTCTGTTCAAATGAGGGTGCGTGTAGATTTTCCTCCCCATCTATCCCTCTCTCTCACCCTTGCTTACCTCACTGTGTCTCTCTCTCTCACTCCCCTCTCATTCTTTCTTTCTCGCTGTCCCCTTCTCTCTCTCACTCCCCTCTCATTCTTTCTTTCTCGCTGTCCCCTTCTCTCTCTCACTCCCATCTCATTCTTTCTTTCTCGCTGCCCCCTTATCTCTCTCCTCCATCTCATTCTTTCTTTCTCGCTGTCCCATTCTCTCTCTCACTCCCATCTCATTCTTTCTTTCTCGCTGCCCCCTTATCTCTCTCACTCCCTCTCATTCTTTATTTCTCGCTGTCCCCTTCTCTCTCTCACTCCCACTCTCATTCTTTCTTTCTCGCTGTCCCCTTCTCTCTCTCACTCCCATCTCATTCTTTCTTCTCGCTGCCCCCTTCTCTCTCTCACTCCCTCTCATTCTTTCTTTCTCGCTGTCCCCTTCTCTCTCTCACTCCCATCTCATTCTTTCTTTCTCGCTGTCCCTTCTCTCTCTCCTCTCCATCTCATTCTTTCTTTCTCGCTGCCCCTTATCTCTCTCCTCCATCTCATTCTTTCTTTCTCGCTGTCCCCTTCTCTCTCTCTCATCCCATCTCATTCTTTCTTTCTCGCTGCCCCCTTATCTCTCTCCTCCCCTCTCATTCTTTCTTTCTCGCTGCCCCTTTCTCTCTCTCACTCCCTCTCATTCTTTCTTTCTCGCTGTCCCCTTCTCTCTCTCCCCTCCCTCTCATTCTTTCTTCTCGCTGCCTCCTTATCCTCTCTCCTCCCTCTCATTCTTTCTTTCTCTTTCGCTGTCCCTTCTCTCTCTCCTCCCTCTCATTCTTTCTTTCTCCTGTCCCCTTCTCTCTCTCCTCTCCCTCTCATTCTTTCTTCTCGCTGCCCCTTCTCTCTCTCCTCCCTCTCATTCTTTCTTTCTCGCTGTCCCCTTCTCTCTCTCCTCCCCTCTCATTCTTTCTTTCTCGCTGTTGTCCCCTCTCTCTCCCTCCTCCCATCTCATTCTTTCTTTCTCCTTTGCCCCCTTATCTCTTTCCTCCATCTCATTCTTTCTTTCTCTCGCTGTCCCCTTCTCTCTCTCACTCCCATCTCATTCTTTCTTTCTCGCTGCCCCCTTATCTCTCTCACTCCCCTCTCATTCTTTCTTTCTCGCTGCCCCCTTCTCTCTCTCACTCCCTCTCATTCTTTCTTTCTCGCTGATGTCACAATAGTGTTTTTATTGTTCCCAAGGGTACATCATTAAATCACCAATTCACGTTTTTTAGAGTTTGTTAGGTAGAGTTCGAAAATACACAAAAATTGACATTTTCACATCAAAATAACGTACCAAATATAGAGTATCTTCATTGTTAAGTTGGGAATAAAGATCTCCATTTTGTGTCATGACTTTGGAGGCTATTATTTTTAATTGAATGAACTTTTGCACATTGAAAATTTCTCTCAAAACAAACAGGAACTTTTCGAGTTTTGGAGTGTATTGGTTAATCCCACAAAAATGGATATATTTTTTGGCAGTTAGGATTATATGGTGTAATAATCTATCTGTGTATAATGTTCCAAACCAAACAAGATATTTTGTTATTTTAGTTGTGTTCTCAATATGACTATTCATCCAAACTTCAAGTTCATTCAAGAATGTTTGTGTTTCTCTACATTCCCAATATACATGACAAATATTCTCATTCAGCTAATTACAAAAACAGCAAACAGATATGTCAACAAGTTTCATTTTAAATAGTTCATTTTTAGTATAGATAATAGTATAGATAATAGTATAGATAATACCATGTAAAAACTTGTATGGAAATCAAGTAGTTTGACATATTTTAAACCATTTCTCTAAGTCGTAAAAATCTGATTCCAATCAAAAGTAACATTAGCGAAAGATTCTTGCCATTTAAGAGACATTTTAGGTAAATCTTCATCGAAAATCGTGGCGTCATAAAAATTCTAGAGCCTTTGCATCATTTCAATAAAGTCAAATGACACTCAGTTATGAGTAAATCAAAAACGGGGATGTTTCTTAGAGTGTCTAATAGTATATTTCCAAGAATCAGGTAGTATATTCAAAATATGCAAATAATCCAGGTATGTGCCTTTAATGCCAAACATTTCCTTTAACTTGTCAAAGGTTAAGAAACCAGTGTTGTCACACAGGTCTTTAATTGTAAGAATGCCTTTACTTGGCCAGTTTTTATTGTAATGTGTTGGGTTTTTGTAATTATGGTTAAACCATAGTGGTTGGGCTAGGATTTCATAAACATTACCAGAATTCACATGACTTTTTTTGCAATATTTGTTCCAAGCTTTCAAAACATCCTTCCAATAAGGGTTATCGATGTAAGTTACATGATCAACATTTGCACCAGATTTAAAAATGACACCAAAAGGAATATTACAGGGATTTTCAACTGTTCTTTTTCTACAATATGATCTCAGGTTAGCTAGTTTCAAAGCTTCACAAAATGTTACTGTGTCAACCATTCTTAAACCACCATTTTTGTATAATCTTTTCAAATTGTTCCTTTTGATTTTATCAGGTTTGTCATTCCATATGAAATTGAAAAAGCTATTCTCCAATAACGTAATGGAGTCTTTAGGAGGATTAGGCAGAGTATTGAATATACGAACAAGTTTTGACAAAGCCAAAGTTTTTATGACACTTATTTTACCAATCAGTGTCAAGTGTCTTTTCCTACATTGTGAAAGCAATCTATTTATCTCATCTAGTCTTTTTCTTGTATTGATTACCCATAAGCTGTTAATATCTGTGTGGAATGTAATTCCCAAGACTTCAAACACACCCTTTTGCCATTCTATTTAATGTCTTTACATAGTATATCATGCTATTTCTCTTTGAGTCAATCCATATTGCATTTGTCTTATCAATGTTTATTTTAAGTCCTGACATTTTATAAAATGTATTAATTTCATCAATAGCTGCCTTTAAGCTTTGTTCATTTCCACCAAGAAATAGTCCCGTATCATCTGCATATTGGTTTAATTTATACTCATTATTGTCAATAACAATACCTTTTATGTTCTCATTACTTCTATCATACAACCAAGTATTTCAGCGACAAAAATAAAGAGGTACGGTGACAGAGGGTCCCCTTGCCTGCATCCGCGTTCATTTACGAAAAAAACAGAGAGTTTACGATGTTGGATGATACATGATGTTGTTTCATATGTTGTCGGTCACCGCTCTCTGCATTTCCAGCCATTTGACTGTGGCCTGTACACAGTCCAGTCACACCCATTCCATTGATCTTATGTTTTATGAGCAACCGTCCTTTCAAAGGCTGCTGGAAATTGATTTTGATGACATGGAACAGAATTTATGGCAATATTAGGCATGCACACAGGTCAGGTGATTTCTAAGTCTAGAGTTAGGCTCAAGTGTTTTCTGTAGTTGTGAAAACAAAGTGAAGATTGTGTTTGTCATGTCAAGCGTCCAGGCCGTGGTGACGTCACTAGAGGGTCAGATGTTGACGACCGTGGGCCTCGATACAGAGATGGACTACAACACATTCAAACGGTCACTGAAAGTTAGAGACGTGAGTTGCCCTGTACGTGTGTGAGTGCTGGCATGTGTGTGTGTGTCTGTGAGTGTATACGGATGTGTGTTTTTGTCTGTGAGTGTGTACTGGTGTGTGCATGTGTGTCTGTGAGTGTGTACTGGTGTGTGTGTTTGTGTGTGAGAGTGTGTACTGGTGTGTGTATGTGTGTCTGTGAGTGTGTACTGGTGTGTGTTTTTGTATGTGTGTGAGAGTGTACTGGTGTGTGTTTGTGTGTCTGTTAATGTGTACTGGTGTCTGTCTGTGTGTGTGAGAGTGTGTACTGGTGTCTGTATGTGTGTCTGTGAGTGTGTACTGATGTGTTTGTGTGTCTGTGAGTGTGAACTGGTATGTGTTTGTGGGTCTGTGAGTGTGTATGTGTGTCTGAGAATGTGTACTGGTGTGTGTATGTGTGTGTGAGAGTGTGTACTGGTGAGTGTTTGTGTGTGAGAGTGTGTACTGGTGTGTGTGTGTCTGTGAGAGTGTACTGCTGATTGTATGTGTGCCTGTGAGTGGGTACTGGTGTGTGTTTGTGTGTGTGAGAGTGTGTACTGGTGAGTGTTTATGTGTTGGAGAGTGTGTACTGGTGTGTGTTTGTGTGTGAGAGTGTGTACTGGTGTGTGTTTGTGTGTGTGAGTGTGTGTACTGGTGCGTGTTTGTGCGTGAGAGAGAGTGTACTGGTGTGTGTTTGTGTGTGTGAGTGTGTGTACTGGTGAGTGTTTGTGCGTGAGAGAGAGTGTACTGGTGTGTGTTTGTGTGTGAGAGTGTGTACTGGTGTGTGTTTGTCTGTGAGAGTGTGTACTGGTGAGTGTTTGTGTGTGTGAGAGTGTATACTGGTGTGTGTTGTGTGTCTGTGAGAGTGTACTGATGTATGTATGTGTGAGTGAGTGTGTACTGGTGTGTGCTTGTGTGTGTGAGAGTGTACTGATATGTGTCTGAGTGTCTGTGAGAGTGTACTGATGTGTGTATGTGTGTGTGAGAGTGTGTACTGGTCTGTGCTTGTGTGTGTGTGAGAGTGTACTGATATGTGTCTGTGTGTCTGTGAATGTGCACTTGTGTGTGTCTGTCTCTCTGTGAGAATGTACTGGTGTGTGCACGTATGTCTGTGAGTGTGTTCACGTTTGTGTTTGTGTGCCTGTGCATGTGTACTGGTGTGTGTCCATTTGTCTATGAGTGTGTACTGGTGATTTTGTGAGTGTGTACTGATGTGTGTTTGTGTGTATGTGAGTGTGTACTGGTATGTGTTTGTGTGTGTGAGAGGGTGTTCTGGTGTGTGTTTATGTGTGTGACTGCGTACTGGAGTGTGTTTTGTGTGTGGGTGTGTACTGGTATGTGTTTTTGTTTACTGGTGTGTGTTTGTGTGTGAGAGTGTGTACTGGTTTGTGCTTTGGCGTGTGTTTGTATGTGAGTGTGTACTGGTGTGTTTGTGCGTGAGAGTATGTACTGGAGTGTGTTTGTGTGTTAGAGAGTACTGGTGTGTCTGTTTGTGTGTGATAGTGTACTGGTGTGTGTTTGTGTGAGTGAGTGTGAACTGGTGTGAGAGTGTACTTGTGTGTGTGTCTGAATGAGAGCGTGAGAACTGGTGTGAGAGTGTACTTGTGTGTGTTTCTGTGTGAGAGTGTACTGGTTTGTGTTTGTGTGTGAGAGTGTACTGGTGTGTGTTTGTGTGTGAGCGTGTGAACTGATGTGAGAGTGTACTGGTGTGTGTCTGTGTGTGAGCGTGTGAACTGGTGTTAGACTGTACTGGTGTGTGTTTGTGTGTGAGAGTGTACTGGTTTGTGTTTGTGTGTGAGCGTGTACTGATGTGTGTTTGTGTGTCTGTGAGTGTGTACTGATGTGTGTTTGTGTGTCTGTGAGTGTGAATTGGTGTGTGTTTGTGTGTCTGTGAGTATGTACTGATGTGTGTTTGTGTGTCTGTGAGTGTGTACTAATGTGTGTTTGTGTGCCTGTGAGCGTGTACTGATGTGTGTTTGTTTGTCTGTGAGTGTGTACTGGTATGTGTTTGTGTGTCTGTGAGTGTGTACTGATGTGTGTTTGTGTGTCTGTGAGTGTGTACTGATGTGTGTTTGTGTGTACTGGTGAGTGTTTGTATGTGAGAGTGTGTACTGGTGTGTGTGTGTGAGAGAGAGTGTGTGTGTGTGAGTGTATGTGTGTGAGAGAGTGTGCACTGGTGAGTGTTTGTGTGTGTGAGAGTGTGTATTGGTGTGTGTGTCTGTGAGAGTGTGCTGGTGTGTGTATGTGTGTCTGTGAGAGTGTACTGGTTTGTGTTTGTGTGTGAGAGTGTACTGGTTTGTGTTTGTGTGTGAGTGTGTTAACTGGTGTGAGAGTGTACTGGTGTGTGTCTGTGTGTAATAGTGTGTACTGATGTGTGTGAGTGTGTTCTAGTTTGCGTCTGTGTGTGTATACTGCATGTGTCTAAACAATGTTGTGCGTTTTTTTTTGCGTTTTTCGTGTGTTTCTTTGATCTTGTGTGTGCATGTTTGTGCATACACGTGTTTGTGAGTGTGAACATATGTGACTGTGAAAATGTGAGTGTGATTGTGTTGGTATTAGTATTAGAGTTCTGTACCGTTAGGTCTTTAATGAACATGTGAGTTCCACGAGCGTACAAGGGACGCTGTGAATACAGTGGTGTGAGCGTTTGAGGACACATGTGATTGTATGAGTATGTGGGTGTGGCAAAGCGTACGTGTGTGAATATTGGGCTGTATAGTGCTCGAATCCGTTAAAACGTCTGTAAATTCAAATTCGTTAAATGTGTTTAACTTACCGGAGTAGCGAGACTGTTGATGACCAACACTGTTGTCAGCGAAATACAAGCTATATCACCTTGTAAATGAACGAATATTGACCAGGGAAGCCATCAACACACGATGTCGCAAAGTTATACCCAGATGTTTAGGACTGTAAAATGTGAATGAATCTGAAGCCTGTTTCAAGTGCAGTTATTAATAGCTTTGAACAATCATAAACTTTACGTTGTACATAAACTGTACACAATATTTGTAGCTTGTAATTCACAATCAAAACACGTTTCAATGCATATGACTTTGTGGATAACAACGATTTGTTTATTGCATAGGGCGACGTTTCGGTGGAGATTCATACACCGTTTTCAGTAAAGGCGTGTATTCATTGTTGACTCATCAAGTTCTAAATGCCGATCAAAAAGTTTTCCTTTTCAAATATTAAGTAGATAGTTTATTTTAAAAGACATCCTGTTCAATGGGTTGCAAATTATTAACTGAACATGAATACACTATGTAGATAACAATACAAAAAATGTAAATGAATAAATGAATGAATGAATGAATGAATTATCGATAATTTATAACCATTATAAAAAAAACTGTATTCGAATTCGAACCCAGATCGGACCCACGACGGATGAACACTTCGCCACAATAGCGATTGTTCCATTACTATGGCCAGTTACCCGTGAAGATCCGGCTTAGAATTGGTCTACAGTACTACCCGTGCTTGTCGTAAGAGGCGGCGAACGGGATCGGGTGGTCAGGCTCGCTGACTTGGTTGACACATGATCGGTTCCCAATTGCGCAGACCGTTGCTCATGCTGTTGATCACTGGATTGTTTCGTCCAGACTTGATTATTTACAGCCCGCCGCCATACAGCTGGAATATTGCTGTTAATGTTAATGTAACAGCCTTGTCTTTCCAGTCCTTCTTCGCAAGGAGATTCTTCAAGCTGTTTGACACTGACAACAGCAACTCGGTAGATGTGTCGGAACTGTTCGCCGCCACCAGACGTTTGAGACATGGTACAGCCACTCAGAAACTCAAGTTCCTCTTTGACGTCTATGACGAGAGTGGTGAGTATCATGTTTATACAATGAGAGTGGACACAAACGCGACGGCTGTGTACTATCGCTGTCACCGCCCACAGTTGGATCGTGAACTTGGACTCTTGTAGCTGGATGAAATGACTTCATGTAATGAGTTTGTGTAATGACTTCGTGTATGCGCTTGTATTATGGCTTCCTGTAATGACTTCGTGTATGCGTGTGTGTAACCGTCCTTCCCTAAGGTTTCCTATTATGACTTAAACACTGACTTCGACTTTCGTATGCTGATATGTGATGACTTTTTGTGTAAAGGACTTCCGGTAATGACTTCGTGTATGCCTTTGTATAATGGCTTCCTGTAATAATTTCTCGTAGGCATTTGTGTAAACGTTTCCGATAATGACTTCAAGTATGGGTGTGTGCAATGGCTTCCTGTTTGTACAATGGCTTCCTGTGTGCGTTTGAGCAATGCCTGCAGCTATGCGTTTGAATAATGACTTCCTGTAATGGCTTCCTACAATGACTTCTTGCATGCGTTCGTGTAAAGGCTCCGTGTGGTGGCTCCTTGTATGCGTTTGTGTAATGGCTTCCTGCAATGGCTATCTGTATTCGTTTGTGTTACTGTCCTTCCTTTAAGGTGACGGTTATATCGACATCGAGGAGTTACGGACGGCGTTACGGTCGTGCATGGTGGAGAGTTCGGTGAAGCTTGGGGAGGAGGAACTAGATCTGCTGACTCAGGCATTATTTGAAGAAGCAGATGAAGACTGCAGTGGCGAAATCTCCTTCCAGGAATTGGAATCGGCGATTGACAGACATCCGGGGCTAAAGGAGAACCTGTGTCTAAGGTGAGCGTGTTGATGGGGGAACTTACACCCACCACGGCTGTCCAACATAGTGTGGGAAGGAGGCGCAAAGTCAGATAATGTCTATTTCTATCACTTAATCTCTTCTCCTAAATGAATAAATATTTTGGGTGACAAAAGTTGCCCCGCCGTGTAGTTGGTGGAATATTGCGTAATACCACACTCACAACATTTCTGTTCACATTTCCATCAGAACGCAACCCAAACTGTCATGGACGGTAAACGGTTACTTCGGGTCTTCCTCCCACACGAAACTGACAAACTGTGATATAACTTGCCGCTGTACAGATCTGTGTTACCGTTAAGGTGATCGTATGTCCCATACCATGACCCAGACTCAAACTAATCGTGAAAGTTGGTCGGTACGGTGACATCCCAATGAAATGTGATTGGCGGCCTTTATTCTTAATCCATTCACTCACAATATTCTTTTTATTGAAGCGTGGACCAGTGGCTGAAACCCCCATCCGCACCCCGCAAAGGGACGCTACTTCAGTACTACTTCTCGAAGTCGTACTTCCTCAACAACCTCCGGAAGATAGCTTTCTTTGCCTTCCTGATCCTCCTCAACTGCATCCTGTTTGCCGTGGGCTGCTGGAACTATCGCACATCCAACTGGTGCATCATAGTAGCCAGAGGATGCGGGCTCTGTCTCAACTTCGACTGCACCTTCATCGTTGTCCTCATGCTGCGGAAGTGTATTACCTGGCTGCGTGCGACGCCAGCTAGTCACGTGCTTCCGCTGGACCAGCATATAATATTTCATAAGCTGATGGGCTTCTTGATAATGCTGTTTACAGTGGTGCATACCGTATTCCATATTGTGAACGCAAGTGAGAACACAAGAACAATATACGAACTTTTTTAAAAATAATTGTTGATAATAATTTAAGATTTCCAAATCGTGTATTTTACTTCTAGAAATTGGAATCGCTACACTTGCACACAACATTTATAATTGAAAATTAATACAGTTTGCATTGGTTGCTTGAACGCTTGATTGAATTATTGAATTATTGATTGATTGATTCCAACCTAAGGGATAAGTGAGCGATTAAATTGAAGATTTCTCAAACGTGTATTGGATTCGCTACACGTCTACTCAACATTCGTATTCGAAATTAGTAAACTAGATTTTCCTGTTCATCGATCACTTTAGTGCATGACAGGAGTACTGAGGCATCAAATGTTTTGGCAACGGTGTGATGGACATATTGTTTCGCGGTATTTCAGATGCCATCTTTCCATTGCAGTCTTGGAAGCCGAGAGTCAGTTCAACCTGACCGTGCCTGCCTTAATCTTCACCACCGAGGCCAACATCGGCTGGGTGGCCGGTTTCGCTCCCCTCTCTGGCGTTCTGCTCGTCGTCGTCTTCGTCGTCATGTTCATCTGCTCCATGCCCTTCGTCAGGAGGAGTGGATACTTTCAGGTAGAGAAACATCCAGCGTGGCGTATTTATGGTAAACTGGTACAGAGATGTACAAGATGGCAGCTGACACATCCAGTGGTCACCAAGCTACAAAACATCAGTTCAAAGAGTTAGACGAGTTACACAAATAGAGTTAGCGAGTAATTGTTCTTTAACTGGTATTTTCATGTCAAGGTGGCGTACTGCAAGCACGTAACCCATATTCTATAAAGATGCTGGCTGCGAATTAATGATCGAACCCCTTTGGGGCGGTGGGGTAGCATCGTGTTAGCTTGAGGCCCCGGCTCGATTCCCCACATGGGTACAATGTGTGAAGCCTATTTCTGGTGTGCCCCGCCGTGATATTGCTGGAAGAACGGCCTAAAACCAAACTCACTCACTCACTCACTCACTTGGCCTTCTCTGTTTGGGTCTTTGCTGCAAGTAAATGATCCCACTGGTATTCTCCCTGAGCTGATAATAGCTGGAAACTTTCTGAAGCGTCTTAAAGCAGCATATACCTTCTCATTTTCTGTTTTGCGTCATAGAGTACCGATTGCGTTGTTTTCTTAAACGCAGATAACTCTTTGATCCCGGGTTTAAATCCCTTGTCGTCTTAAGTATGGTTCTTGGTTTGTAAGCATCACACCCGTGTGAGTTTCACCTTTGGAGTAACTAATAAACATTGCTGTTACTACGGGCCGAGCTCCCACATTTACCAGACCTAGACGAAATACTGTTTTCTCACGCACTCAACCATGCGCTGTCTGTGCAGGTGTTCTACTGGACGCACATGCTGTACGTCATCTTCTGGTTCCTGCTCATTCTTCATGCGCGCCATTTCTGGAAATGGTTCTTAGTGCCTGGTGCCATGTTTATTCTGGAGAAGCTATCCCGGTCTAAAGTGATCAAGAGAATCGCTTACGGCGATACATTCATAACGGGAGTCAACCTTCTGCCTTCCCAGGTATGTTATACTCGTACTGGGCCCACGCATTGATATTGACACTCAAGATCAGAATATACACAGGCGTATTTTTTCTGTAGAATAAATATGCTTTCAGCGTGATTTCTTCTTAACTTTCTCTCTGTACAATATAAGCAAAAAATAATAACAGGAAATAACGTGTACATTTCGCGTCAAACTAAGTTGATTTATTGATTAGCATGCGTTGTGCAGAGAACACATGCAACCAGTATACTCTGAAATTCCGCGTTAATGTAAGGGCTTATATTTATTTTCAGTTATTTTATCGATGTAGAAATTCGAATGAGACATGATATGTGAATTTGAACCGCTTTACGCTGTGTGAGTGGCGACACGAGTGTGTTCGTGTGTGTGCGTGCGTGTGTATTTTGTGCACGTGAACGCGAGTGAAAAAAACAAAACAAACAAAAGTGTGTCTAACTACCGCAATAATAGTTAATATAAGGATAACGCTATTTTGCAGGGCATAATCATTAGCAGAAGCCTGAGGTCTTTCATTAACTTCCCGACGAAGGAGTGCAGTTGAAAAGACCGAGGGCTTCTGCAAATGATTATGCCCTGCAAAATAGCGTTAAAGTGGATAGAATTTTCAATAAGATAAAAACAAACAATGGTATCGATTTTGAAGCATTTACTGCTAACAACAAACGGCGGAGGTCACTGACCCACCTTTTACAAATATGGAAACATCACAGAACCAAACAGATGACGTCACTATTGAGAGAGTTGACATTCGACCTTGACCTTAGCCCATAACTACCAGCCGCCATATTTTTCAATGCTCTAGAACGTTAGAGTTCGATGCTTTCATTGCTGCCTGTTGTAATTTATGGTACAATTGTTAAGGTTGGCACCGGCAAGAAAGTGCATAATGGCACAAGTACATGTGACGAATGTGAGTCAGGAATATCGTCAATATTGAACCCAAGTTCAAACGAGCCGTAGGTGATTGAACAGCAAGAGCTGAGCTCCTTATGACGTCACCTAACAACGGGCATGATAATGGCCCATCGACAATCAATTTGGGGACATTATCAAGTTACAGCGGCTGTCTCATGTCTGATAACATGCGGGCGTTTTAATGAAAATTCTATTCATTCTGGCTATAATGTGCAGCTGATGTCACTCTGACATCATACAGTGAAGAGCAATTACGCCTAAGTATATCAACAGCAATCTAGGTCTGTACCAACGAGAACAATCGTATGATCTCAAGTGGATAAAAGTGTATGACTCACTATTGTAAGATTATGCCTATTATCCAAAATTATTCTTGAAAGAGTTTATGTACAGAAGTAACTAAGTTGCCGTTGTTGACTATAGTACGAAGACGTAAGTCGTAAGTCATCGTTTGTTAAGGTATAGCAGTTACGATGACCTCAGAGGGAAGATCGCGTCGTCGTACAGTGGTACCCAATTTCGTTAGTTTACAAGCTTACTTCCCTGTAAGAGAAATTAATGAAATCATTTGAATGTGACGTCATGATTACAATGACGTCATAATTTCCCGTAAAGCATTGTCCTCTTACGTCAGTGCCGCAGTATATCTGCTACCAGATATTCTTTGTTATTACCCATACGGGTGAGGAGATCCCGTGTAATATCTTTTTGATATTTGCACAATGGTCATTGGTCGATTGTATATTTGTACATTTTCACACCGCTACGTTCATTCATAATATTTCATCGATTCATTGATGAATTGCTGTAATCGCTCTGCTGTAATCGCACTGATTAGAGATTTTAAAGTAGAACAAAAAAACAAAAAGAAAGAAAAATACAGGATTTCGATGTTGATGCTTAGTTAATGCTTCATTGCATAATTCATTAACAATATGGCGTCGTTTACTTAACAACATGTTTTATAGAAAAACTATTGTCTGATCGTATTTTGTAAACAAACATGGCTACCCAGTTAACTGCGATCAACGCCAATGACCTGGTCAAGGTGGACGGATACATTACTAGACGCGTAACGAGAATTATACAACCACTAATTTCCTTTCGCGTGTGTGTGATAAACACTGAACATGGTGAAATGGAAGTCGCAAGGTACAGACTGAAAGTGTTGCCGGAAACGATATCGAGCGAGTCGGCATCTCGCTAAAGTCCTCACTTACCGGACATAAATGACTTACTGCAAGATGGTTTTTGACCCCCCAATCGAAAACAAAACTTTTGACAAATGTGTTCCTGTTTTTGACCATGAAATCGAAAACATTTTGGCTGCTAACGAAAACTGTTGTCGACTCGGACTCGGACTAAATTTAGAGTTTAGACACTGATGCGAGCCAAAACTAGGTCACAGTCCGTTTCAGCACAATGATGACAAACGTTCATAATTGTGTATCGTCTTCTCAAAACAAAGGTTCACCATTCCTGCCTTTTATTGTTCCCTTGCAGATTTTCACTGTTTTAGAAGTTATCCAACAACAGTCACCCACCTTCTGACACCAGTAGACACGTCGACACATTTGCGATCTACGATTAAATATTGCCTATGTTATTGCACTCGTTAAAACTAAACTGAAACTTTACAAGGGGTGTGGGTGATAAAGTCGTCATCAAACGAATTTGGAAACTGTTGAATTGTGTTGTTCTTCATACCGTTTTCTACAGTACTATATTGTGGTTCGAATGCGATTCCATTAAGTTTAGCAGTTTAGTTCCGTCCGCGCATTAATACAGATCAGCGGAATTAGTTGTAAACACGTATATAAGAAGATGCGGCGAGTTCATAAATATTGGTTTCTCGGTTAATTACAGAATGGGTAATAAATAGAAAAACCCACGAGGTACGGTCGATTACGGGAAATATGTCCCTCGTGAAATTAATATTCAAGTCCCCGCTAAAGCTCAGGACAGTGAACATTGATTTCACGAGGGACATAATTTCCGTAATCACTCGTACCTCGTGGATTATTCTCTAAATCTCACATTCATCAAATCTTGATTTAACGGGTAATTGTTATACGTTTTCTCCATTGTCAGAATAGCCTCTTGATTAATATACTATACCCACAAATCTCTCAACTAAACGTCCGGTTTCAGGTTACCCATCTTGTCATTACAGAGATCCCAATATGACATTTCCAAATTGGACGCACCAGTGACGAAAGGATGTCTCAAGCAAATTCCCATTTTGACTTATACCATACGTTGCAATTTGTTTTGTGTGGTGAACACTTGCCTTGCCTTTACACTTAACAGTTATGGGGACGCTCACCTTTTGGTATCATCACTATTTGATAATGATTAATAACAAACTTGCTCATATCCATTACTTTCTCCAGGTGACCCATCTTGTCATTACAAAGCCTCCTAATATGAAGTACCGACCTGGAGACTACGTGTTCCTGCAGATTCCAGCCATTGCTAAGTATGAGTGGCATCCCTTCACCATCAGCAGCGCCCCGGAAATGGGAGGTAAGTTTCCCCTTGAACGCGCCCCAGAAATGGGAGGTAGGTTTCCCCATAAAAATTCCCATTACTGGAACATAGGTCTTCCAATCAGCTTCTTAAACGAAGGGAAACTCTCTCTATGGTGCAACGCCCCTGGGTCCCGATCGACAACGCGTTCTTAACGTTACGAACTGTCGTATAGTTTATCAAAGGCTTACGAAAGTCGTAGCTCTACGAACGTTTTGTGGATCGGGACGCGGAACTGGAAAGTTTGTCTTCCCATAAGGAGCACTTGAGCTGGAAGATTGGTCTTCCAATAAAGACAAATTGAACTGGGACGGAGGCCTTCCAGAACAGCGCCCTTTAACTGGAAAGTAGGTCTTCCGAAACAGCGCCCTTGAACGGGAAGTTATACAGAAGATTATACAGAACAGCGCCCTTGAACTTGAAGGTAGGTCTTCCAGAACAGCACCCTTAAACGGGAAGAGAGTTCTTCCTGAACAGCGGAATTGAACTGGAATGTAGGTCTTCCTGAACAGCGGACTTAAACTGTAAGGTATGTCTTTCAGAACAGCGCCTTTGAACTGCAAGGTAGGTCTTCCAGAACAGGGCCCTATAACTGGGAGGTAGGTCTTCCAGAACAGCACCCTTGAACTGGGAGGTACGTCTTCCAGAACAGCACCCTTGAACTGGGAGGTAGGTCTTCCAGAACAGGGCCCTAGAACTGGAAAGTAGGTCTTCCAGAACAGCGCCCTTGAACTGGAAGGGAGGTCTTCCAGAACATGTCCCTTGAACCGGGAGGTATGTCTTCCAGAACAGCACCCTTGAACTGAAAGTAGGTCTTCCACAACAGCACCCTTGAATTGGGAGGGAGGTCTTCCAGAACATCGCCCTTGAATTGGGAGGTAGGTCTTCCAGAACAGCACCCTTGAACTGGGAGGTAGGTCTTCCAGAACAGCGCCCTTGAACTGGGAGGTAGGTCTTTCAGAACAGCACCCTTGAATTGGGAGGTAGGGCTTCCAAAATAACGCCCTTGAACTGGGAGGGAGGGCTTCCAGAACAGCACCCCTTGAACTGAAAGGTAGGTGTTCCATAACATCAGCCCTTAGCTGGAAGGTAGATCTTCCAGAACAGCACCCTTGAACAGGGAGGTAGGTCTTCCAGAACAGCACCCTTGAATTAGGAGGTAGGTCTTAAGGAACAGCGCTCTTTAACTGGGAGGTAGGGTTTCCTATGAAGCGCAAATGAATTGGAAGCTTGTCTCACCTTGAACTTATTTTGTATGGAGACTAAATTGTAGAAATGTTTTCCTCAGCTGCAGCAGCAAACCTGTAAACTGAGCATTAACAATTTATTTCAAGTTAAATCTTGCAAAAATGAATTTTTATGGTTGACAGTCTGAACTATAATTTCTTTGACAATTGATTTTGTTCGATCAAAAACACAGACACACAGAATTTCAAATTAGGAGATTAACGTACTGTGTTTGAAAATTAGATGAATGTTAGACCGAATTGATAGTCTCTAAATTTCATTTGAAGCCGAAAATCGAAGAATAGATCCTTTTCTGATCTACCTATGACCTGTAACTCATCAAAGACTGTTGATTTTTATGACCGGCGAGTGTCGATCATGATTTCACGTACGTGCCTCCACCCCGGCATGCGACGAAAGAGTGACAGTGCTGCTTTGTATACATGCGACTAACTTGGGATTCCTTGGAACATTGTTCTCATCATTTGGGAATGTATTGTGGCCAAGCTTTTCAAAGTGTACGAACAAAGCACTGACAGCCTTGCGGGGAAGGTGGCAGAGAGCGGAATTATCATGGTTCAGTTTTTGACATTTTGAACGATGCAACGGGACATGATGGAGTATGAGTGGTAAATTTTGTGTTTCGCCTGACCGTTAGTATCTTGCGAATTTCCCATTCTAAACGGAAACAAATATACCAGGTAGGTAAATGTTTACGAACGTTTTGCCGCACAAATAAGGATAGAGAGGGATGTATTTTTACAAGGTTTTCTGATTGACATTGTGTGTATATGTTATGGATTGTTTGTTTATGTTTGAGACTCTGTATTGCAATTGAGTTTGAATATTTTTATAGTAGAGGGTAATAATTATGATAGTGAGGTTCCCAAATAATTGTGGAGGAGAAATCGTATAATTGTATTTTTAGAGTTTTAATAAATGTTTCATCAGCAACATTTCCATCACGTCTGTTGTGATGATATTAGTCATGTTAGTGGCCAAGCTGAAGTAGTGCGGCAGTGTTGTATACGTGCGCCGTGAAGCGCCGTGAAATCAGACGCATTTTCAATCCAAATTGATACCGTCTGATGTTATGGATTGACCAAACAAATTCGAGCATTTCACGTAGCCATGGTAGAATGAAAGATATCGGTATTTCACATCTGGCGAGATGTTGACACAACACTGACTAGTTGTATCTGTACATATCTACATATAATATATCACATACGATGAAGATCTATACAGATTCTCATATTGATTAGATGTTTCCTTGACCTGCATTCTCTGTGTCCACAGGCAAGCTGTGGGTACACGTGCGATCTGCTGGTCACTGGACAAACAAGTTGTACGAGCATTTCCATGACTACGACGAAAGCAGACACTCCACAACTGACCTCAATGGAAGTATGTTCTCGTATTTACGCATTCCCCCCCAGATATTTTAATAATCGAAATATTTAATATATTATACAGCACATCAATCAACACACCCAGCAGAAAATGGGAACCCGGTAGGATAAATCATGTGACTATCAACCTACTGGCGCCTCACAGGCAGCTTGGGTTTGTGATTACAGCGTCCAGTGAGCAACTAGACAGATAGATACGAGGCTATAAAAATGAATTATAATTATTATATCATCATAAATAAAAGATGCAGCTGATAATTTTTTAATGTAGTGAGAATGCTCCAGTCAGCGCGTGAGTGTGAGTGTGTAAGTGAGTTTAAGACCAACAATATTCCAGCTATATCACAGCTTCATATCTGAGGAAAGCCCGTTGGTGAAACCCGTGAACGTGTGTATAGAGCTGACAAACACAGAAACATAATCGCGATGAACTGGGATTCGAACACTCTGGCATTGGTTTCTCTTGTGCCCAAGGGACGCAACTCTGCATAGAGAGTGGTGGACTGGAATGTGAAGCCACTTGCTGGCGTTATATTGCTGGACTATTGCTAAAAGCGGCGTAAAACCATACTCACTCACTCACTCCCGTTATATTGCTTGGCTATTGCTAAAAGTGGCGTAAAACCATACTCACTCACTCACTCACATCCTACTGCTGGACAACTCACTCACGTTATATTGCTGGGCTATTGCTGAAAGCGGCGTAAAACCATACTAACTCACCCCCGTTATATTGTTGGACAATTGCTGAAAGCGGCGTAAAACCATACTCACTCACTCGCGTTATATTGCTGGACTATTGCTGAAAGCGGCGTAAAACCATACTCACTCACGTTTTATTGCTGCTATTGCTAAAAGTGGCGTAAAACAATACTCACTCACTCACATCCTATTGCTGGACTACTCACTCCCGTTATATTGCTGGACTATTGCTAAAAGCGGCGTAAAACCATACTCACTCACTCACTCCCGTTATTTTGCTTGGCTATTGCTAAAAGTGGCGTAAAACCATACTCACTCACTCACTCACATCCTATTGCTGGACAACTCACTCACGTTATATTGCTGGACTATTGCTGAAAGCGGCGTAACACCATACTAACTCACCCCCGTTATATTGTTGGACAATTGCTGAAAGCGGCGTAAAACCATACTCACTCACTCGCGTTATATTGCTGGACTATTGCTGAAAGCGGCGTAACACCATACTCACTCACTCGCGTTATATTGCTGGACTATTGCTGAAAGTGGCGTAACACCATACTCACTCACTCGCGTTATATTGCTGGACTATTGCTAAAAGCGGCGTAAAACCATACTCACTCACTCACTCACATCCTATTGCTGGACAACTCACTCACGTTATATTGCTGGACTATTGCTGAAAGCGGCGTAACACCATACTAACTCACCCCCGTTATATTGTTGGACAATTGCTGAAAGCGGCTTAAAACCATACTCACTCACTCGCGTTATATTGCTGGACTATTGCTGAAAGCGGCGTAACACCATACTCACTCACTCACGTTATATTGCTGGACTATTGCTGAAAGTGGCGTAACACCATACTCACTCACTCGCTTTATATTGCTGGACTATTGCTGAAAGCGGCGTAAAACCATACTCACTCACGTTTTATTGCTGCTATTGCTAAAAGTGGCGTAAAACAATACTCACTCACTCACTCACATCCTATTGCTGGACTACTCACTCCCGTTATATTGCTGGACTATTGCTAAAAGCGGCGTAAAACCATACTCACTCACTCACTCCCGTTATTTTGCTTGGCTATTGCTAAAAGTGGCGTAAAACAATACTCACTCACTCACTCACATCCTATTGCTGGACAACTCACTCACGTTATATTGCTGGACTATTGCTGAAAGCGGCGTAACACCATACTAACTCACCCCCGTTATATTGTTGGACAATTGCTAAAAGCGGCGTAAAACCATACTCACTCACTCGCGTTATATTGCTGGACTATTGCTGAAAGCGGCGTAACACCATACTCACTCACTCGCGTTATATTGCTGGACTATTGCTGAAAGTGGCGTAACACCATACTCACTCACTCGCGTTATATTGCTGGACTATTGCTGAAAGCGGCGTAAAACCATACTCACTCACTCACGTTTTATTGCTGCTATTGCTAAAAGTGGCGTAAAACAATACTCACTCACTCACTCACATGCTATTGCTGGACTCCTCACTCCCGTTATATTGCTGGACTATTGCTAAAAGCGGCGTAAAACCATACTCACTCACTCACCCCCGTTATATTGCTGGACTATTGCTGAAAGCGGCTTAAAACCATACTCACTCACTCCCGTTATATTGCTGGACTACTCACCCCCGTTATATTGCTGGACTATTGCTAAAAGCGGCGTAAAACCATACTCACTCACTCCCGTTATATTGCTGGACTATTGCTAAAAGCGGCGTAAAACCATACTCACTCACTCACCCCCGTTATATTGCTGGACTATTGCTGAAAGCGGCGTAAAACCATACTCACTCACTCCCGTTATATTGCTGGACTACTCACCCCCGTTATATTGCTGGACTATTGCTAAAAGCGGCGTAAAACCATACTCACTCAATCCCGTTATATTGCTGGACTATTGCTAAAAGCGGCGTAAAACCATACTCACTCACTCACTCACGTTATATTGCTGGACTATTGCTGAAAGCGGCGTAAAACCATACTCACTCACTCCCGTTATATTGCTGGACAATTGCTGAAAGCGGCGTAAAACCATACTCACTCAATCCCGTTATATTGCTGGACTATTGCTAAAAGCGGCGTAAAACCATACTCACTCAATCCCGTTATATTGTTGGACTGTTGCTAAAAGCGGCGTAAAACCATACTCACTCACTGCTTCTGTTTATTGCCAGGCTTCTTGTCACCAGTAGACCTGCAGAGTCACGCAAATATAACTGATCATATGAAGCCCATCAAGCTAAACGGCCCTTTACCTTCAACACCGCCGGAGACCCCCTCTAAGGTTAGTCCATACACATACGTGTAGGCGGATCCAGGAACCCCCTGAACCCCCCCCCCCCTCCCTTGGATCCGCCAATGATGCAGACTGAAGCAATACACAATGATTGTGACTTGCAGTCAAAACACCTTTAACAATAATTACATTGTTATAAAAACATAATAATCAAAAATTCAGGTGTGTACTTTTGTCAGATTAGATGCATCTATACCGATACTCAACTACAACTTTGAAGCAAATATCAATGACAATTTGCAGTAAGGAGATTGCCAAGTTATATTATTGTGGCAAACATTTATGTTACTGCAGAGGTGACGTGCATTTTGCTGAAAGCAGAACTAAATGTAATGATATGAGCAGACACCATATATTATCTGTTATATGGTTTCTGATATGAGGCTGTGATGTTAATTTTAGATCTTTGCATTGAATGAAAAGTTTACGAAAATCCCAAATCTGCCCGCTAAAGGGCACTTAGAGTTTGAATCCAATAATGTTAACACTATGGCTATGTTTAGATCTAACTGTCCACAACGGCAGTCGACGAAGATCAAGGATACATTAGAATATTCAACATTTTCTTTAAATTCATTTCAGAATATATTATAAACGATCTTAATGCAACAAAAATGCATCCAGGTTGCTGTAGCTAGTCTGGTAAACTATATCAAACGTTTTACGTCTCTACGACAGAAGTACATAATTAAATCAGCAGTTTTAATTCCACAGAAACAAGAGCGCGGGGTAACACACAAGGATCTGCACGTGCGGGTAAGAGTTTGTTTCAAGGAACACTTTCCATCTGTAATGTGGCAGCTACCTGTCTATAATGGACTCTTTCTCCTCAACAAAAGTACTTCAGCACACATTGCAAGTGCAGCTTAGACCCCTGTGTATGTGCATGTGACAAAACGTGTTTGCCTCTATTGTATGGAGCGAATTAGCAGTTTTGAAACAATCCCTTCAAAAATTAAAAATAAAGGTAAGTCTTTGATCTTTGTCACTGTTCATCCAGCAGAAAATGGGTACCCGGTGGGATAAGTCATGCGACTGTTAGCTTTCTATTATGTTTTATCTTTTAAACTAAGTCTTCTCAGTTGTGTCAGTGGTAGCTTTGCGATATATGTGTGAACAGGGGTAGCTATGAGCACATCATTCCCTGCCAAGGCGAGAACCAAGGCACCAAACATATAGCGACTGTCCACGTCACGTGCTTGATGAGGCGGTGGTGGTAGCCTAGTGGTTAAAGCTTTCTCTCGTCACGCAGAAGACCCGGGTTCGATTCCCCACATGGGTGCAATATGTGAGCCAATTTCTGGTGTCCCCAGCCGTGTTATTGCTGGAATACTGCTAAAAGCGGAGTAAAACTAAACTCACTCACTCACTCACGTGCTTGATAGGAGCAGTGGTTTACTGCGTCAACACTTCAGTACGTGAATTCTCTCGCTAGAGTATTTGCGTTTTGAGATAGAAAGCACATTCTTGTAATAAGGCTTATATCTGTTAGCTGAATCAGTTTGTAACATTCATACGCTGAACACATAACAAAAGTAATCAGGAATAATTTCAAGGTTAAGACTGAGTACGCAAATGCACGTTCTGTATACTAGTATATGGACGATTGAAAAAGTAGAACAGCTTGAATAGGTGCCTCAGGTATGGTCTGCATAGTGACTGAGGTGTTTTAGGTACCCTCGACATGTTGACCTGGGTGTCTCAGGTATGGTCTGCATAGTGACTGAGGTGTTTTAGGTACCCTCGACATGTTGACCTGGGTGTCTCAGGTATGGTCTGCATAGTGACTGAGGTGTTTTAGGTACCCTCGACATGTTGACTTGGGTGTCTCAGGTATGGTCTGTATAGTGACTGAGGTGTTTAGGTACCCTCGACATGTTGACCTGGGTGTCTCAGGTATGGTCTGCATAGTGACTGAGGTGTTTTAGGTACCCTCGACATGTTAACCTGGGTATCTCAGGTATGGTCTGTATAGTGACTGAGGTGTTTAGGTACCCTCGACATGTTAACCTGGGTGTCTCAGGTATGGTCTGCACAGTGACTGAGGTGTTTAATGTACCCTCGACATGTTAACCTGGGTGTCTCAGGTATGGTCTGCATAGTGGCTGAGGTGTTTAGGTACCCTAGACATGTTAACCTGGGTGTCTCAGGTATGGTCTGCATAGTGACTGAGGTGTTTAATGTACCCTCGACATGTTAACCTGGGTGTCTCAGGTATGGTCTGCATAGTGGCTGAGGTGTTTTAGGTACCCTCGACATGTTGACTTGGGTGTCTCAGGTATGGTCGGCATAGTGACTGAGGTGTTTAATGTACCCTCGACATGTTAACCTGGGTGTCTCAGGTATGGTCTGCATAGTGACTGAGGTGTTTCATATACCCTCGTGTGTTAACCTGTGTGACCGGTGTGTTTCAGGTACCCTCAGTATGTTAACCTGGATGACCGGTGTGTTTGAGGTACCCTCAGTATGTTAACCTGGGTGACCGGGGTGTTTGAGGTACCCTCAGTCTGTTAACCTGGATGACCGGTGTGTTCCAGGTACCCTCAGTATGTTAACCAGGGTGACAGGGGTGTTTGAGGTACCTTCGGTATGTTAACCTGTGTGACCGGGGTGTTTCAGGTACCCTCGGTATGTTATCCTGGGTCTCCTAGGTATGGCCTGTACGATCACTCATGTAAACAAGACAGTGATGGTGTTATGGCAAATACATTCTCACAACATTTATGTCTGGCAGTGTTTCATCGACGGGCCCTATGGTACATCGTCCAGGGAATTATTTGAGACGGAGCACGCTGTTCTGATTGGTTCCGGTATCGGCGTGACTCCCTACGCCTCCATCCTCCAGAGCATCATGTACAGGTTCAAGGCCTACAAGAGATGCTGCCCTAGATGTAGCCACTCCTGGTATGATGAAGTGCCACATCACGTCATGAACCTCAAGAAGGTCAGCCCATGGTTGTGGACTAGAGTGAGTGAGTTTAGTTTTACACCGCACTCAGCAATATTCCAGCTATATGGCGGTCATGGACTAGAGCTCATCAGATGTATTATTATTTCTATCAAGCTTTTTATATTTCTTTCTAATCTTCATTCTTTATTTTTTGGTCATCATTGATTCATTGATTAATCCGTTTATTTATTTATTTATTTATTTATTTATTTATTTATTTATTTATTTATTTATTTATTTATTTATTTATTTATTTATTTATCGTTGATTGATTGATTGATTGATTGATTGATTGATTTCATCATCTTGAATCCTAGAGCTGTTTACTAGGATGACGTCACTTTCACCTCAAAGCATTTGTTGGCAAAGAGTGGCGTGTATTCATTAACTACAAGGGGTAATGTTAAAGATCAAAATTTATGAGAAGTACTTCCACAGCCATGACGGTATGTTGACATTGAGAAATAAACTAACAAATGAAAACCCACGAGGAATAGGTCATTATGCATTGTTCTGGTTGGGGGTGACACCATGAATGGACAGCAAACTTCAGGGCCACAGTACGCAACACCGCCATATCTATTGCCTTAACCAGCTCTACCGCGATTACAATTCGTTCATAAAAAATATCATTAACACATGAACCAAAATATGTTTTTACCGATGAGTTGATACCAGGTCGACTTCATCTGGATCAACCGCGACCAGAAATCCTTCGAGTGGTTCGTCAGCCTCCTCACTCAGTTAGAAATGGAACAGACTATGGAAGGCGGGCTGGGGAACTTCATCGAGATGCACATGTACATGACTGCAGCACTTAACAAGACGGACCTGAAAGGAATCGGTTTACAGATGGCCCTGGACCTCATCCATAAGAAACAAGACAAGGACCTACTGACGGGACTGAAGACCCGCACACAGCCAGGGAGGCCAGACTTCAGAAAGGTAGTGAGACGTGAATTATATATTTATATATCGATGAAGAAACTAAATTACAGTATTTTGATATGCAGTATTTTTCTGAAAGGCAAGTTGAAAAAGTTGAGTGAGTATAGAGTGAGTGAATGAGTTTAGTTTTGAAGCGCATTTCTGGTGTCCCCCGCCGTGATATTGCTGGAATATTGCTAAAAGTGGCAATAAACATGCTCACTCACTCACTCACTCATTCACTCACTCACCCATCCACCCACTCACTCACTGACATTAAACACTGACTTTGTCTGTCTTTTCTTGCAGCTGTTCTCCAACATCGCCACTGAGAAGAAAGGGCAAGTGAAGGTCTTCTTCTGTGGGAATCCTGTTTTGGCAAAAGTTATCAAACGGCACTGTGAATCTTTCGGCTTTGCCTTTTCCAAGGAGAACTTTTAAAAGGACGCCAGTGCACATGGCTAATGTGATGGTGTAAAACTGTAGGGACCTGCCACCTCAGGTGAAACACCTACGTTCTGTTACTCAGACAGAAGAGTAGCGTCTGGAATTTGGCTCAGTGTCAAATATATGTCCCGAAGATCTTCCAAATATGATAAATCTGTGCATGGATATCTAAACGTTCATAGAATCATGATCCACCTTAGAGATTAAAGTGTTTTACATTCGTAACTACTCGTCCCTTTCCGTAACCTGAAAGAAGACTCGTATCCCTCTCGTTGCCATGTCAGGGAGAAATATTCCCCCAGCCAATCAGAATGCGCGTATGAGAAGAAACTGGGTCAAAATAGTCAGTTGAAATAATTTTTATTTCAGCTTGCATAATTTTTTCCCAGACACTTCAAGTATATTTCAATAATTGCATAGTCCTCCTGGGTTTCCTGAATTTTTATAACATAATGGTGTAGGAAAGTATTTAAGCATGTTAAACATACCCTTTGAGTTAATTTCCATTGCGTGGATGCCATATGTTTGTTTTCAAAGTAAACTAGAGTTACATGCCCTTGAAAATAGTTCGGCGACTAGACTATTTCTTTCTCTCCGCGCTTTTGCGCTCAGAGTCAAGTTCAGTAAAATGGCTACGAGAAGTGTACGGGTCTTCTTTCAGGGTACAGATAGGGACGAGTAGTTACGATTGAGTCTTTTAGACACGCCTCAGGCCCTAGTTTGATTCCCATCATCCGTACAGTGTCTGGAACCCATTTCAGGCTCATAGAACTGTGATATTGCTGGGATGTTGTGACGTAAAACCATACGCACTCTCCCATTGTGCCAGGACTCGCTCCTGTCAATTGCCTCTAATAAAGTCAATGACAGAACCGTGCTATTTGTTTATCTCTGATAGTCCTGCTGCACCTCGGGCCTGTTCCACAAAAAAGATCGTAGCGCCGAGGTGACCGTAACTTCCATACTTTAACACAGACTTAAAGGCACTATTTCACACCACACTTCTCTATAACTATAATTTCTCTCAATAATACTAACTATCCGCCCTCAGAGAAGTTATCATATAATTTATGCCCCCCTCTCTCTCTCTCCCCCTCCCCAATTACTAATTAGATTACAATATTAAATTATCCGGTTCGAATGAATTAATGCAATCTTACATTAAATCGATTCTCGCGCCGTCTACTGGCCGATCATTAGTTCAAGCGAACTCGATAGGGTTATGTCCCTTGGAGCGCTCTTTACGACTATCCTACGCAAAAGTTCTGATTGAAACCAATTCGGCAAACACCGCGTGCGACAGTTTTCGATGTACGGAGCAATTGTTTACATTCCATAACTGGCAAGCGTTCTCTGTTTGGAAGCTGTTCGCAGCGTAGTTTCAATTATCGATTTAAGAGATAACAAGTCTTTTATTTCACCAATAGAAAGCTAAAGCGAGTGCATATCCCAATATATATAATATAGGCCAAAATATAAGTCGAAACTTTGTGACATTGTGCCTTTAAGGTAGACTTAAGGCTAAGGTTGTTTTGTATAACAGCACCCTGACCATTAAGGTATTCGCCATACTTGTACGAGTCATTTTCAATATAGTTCATTTCTCCAAATGTTAAGTTTCTGTTTTTATTCACTACATTATAGCTGATCCAGCTTCTTACGTTAATTCTTACATAAGCTTACGATAATTGTAGCGCTAAGATGATGGTGATCGTAACTCCCATGCTTTAACATAGGCTTATGACAGTCGTTGCGCTAAGGTGACCTTAACTCACATACTTAACATAGACTTATGACAGTGGTAGCACTAAGGTAACCTTAACTCACATACTTAACATAGACTTATGACATTATGACAGTGGTAGCACTAAGGTAACCTTAACTCACATACTTAACATAGACTTATGACAGTCGTAGCGCTAAGGTGACCTTAACTCACATACTTAACATAGACGTATGACAGTCGTAGCGCTAAGGTAACCTTAACTCACATACTTAACATAGACTTATGACAGTCGTAGCCAAGGTGATCGTAACACCCATACTTAACACAAACCTATGATAGTCGCAGCTATAAGGTGACCGTAACTCACATGCTTAAACGTAGGCTTATGACAGTCGTAGCGCTAAGGTGATCGTAACTCCCATACTTTAACAAGGCTGATTATAGTCGCAGCACTTTATTGCATTCCCTTGGTATGCTGACTACAACAGTTAAAGGTGAGATAGGTTACTAGTATGGCATGTTCGGCAAGGTTAAAGGCATGGTCGGAGTACTGGATAAAGACAAGGTTAAAGGCATGGTCGGAGTATTGGATAAATCCAAGGTTAAAGGCATGGTCGGAGTATTGGATAAAGACAAGGTTAAAGGCATGGTCAGAGTACTGGATAAAGACAAGGTTAAAGGCATGGTCAGAGTATTGGATAAAGACAAGGTTAAAGGCATGGTCAGAGAACTGGATAAAGACAAGGTTAAAGGCATGGTCGGAGTATTGGATAAAGACAAAGTTAAAGGCATGGTCAGAGTACTGGATAAAGACAAGGTTAAAGGCATGGTCGGAGTATTGGATAAAGACAAGGTTAAAGGCATGGTCGGAGTATTGGATAAAGACAAGGTTAAAGGCATGGTCGGAGTATTGGATAAATCCAAGGTTAAAGGCATGGTCGGAGTATTGGATAAAGACAAGGTTAAAGGCATGGTCAGAGTATTGGATAAAGACAAGGTTAAAGGCATGGTCAGAGTACTGGATAAAGACATGGTTAAAGGCATGGTCAGATTACTGGTTATTTGAAAATTTAAAAGCAATGGCATAGGAATGGTAGAAACAAACGTTAAATAACGAGGATATTGTTCTTGGTATCAAAGAGCCACAATGAATATTACAGGAATATCAGATGATGTGATCCAGAGATCTTTCAGGCAACTGGTAATGACTGAGAGCCGAGTTACTTCCTTTCATTGACTATACTTCCAAATACAAATACTAGGATAATGCATATAAATATGTATGTGTAAATGATGAAAAGTCCCCAACCTATATTAAGGACATGTTACATCACTACCAACCCACAAGATCAGCCGATGATAAACTACTTCAAGATCCTAAAACTAAAACAAAGATGGGCGAAGTGGCTCTATGCTTTGCAGCTCCAACACTGTGGAATGCTCTACCACTGGAAATCAGAAACTGTCCAACAAAAGACTCTTTTCTAACTCATCTGAAGACATCTTTTTTCCGCTCACTTCAACAAGCGCCGTTCACGTCTTGACTATGGAAATGCCCTCCTCAATGGGACTACTGCCACTAACATCAAACTACTGCAACAAGTGCAGAACAGTGCTGCGAGGATGCTGACACTGGTACCAAGAGAACTGACCATATCACCCCTGTCCTGAAACCACTCCACTGGCAACCCGTAGAGCACCGCATCACTTTCAAGACTCTTTCTATCACATATTCAGCACTAAATGATGAAAACTCCCCAACCTATATTAAGGACACCTATATCACTACCAACCCACAAGAGCTTTAAGATCACCCGATGATAAACTACTTCAAGATCCTAAAACTAAAACAAAGATGGGCGAAGTGGGTCTATGCTTTGCAGCTCCAACACTGTGGAATGCTCTACCACTGGAAATCAGAAACTGTGGAATGTTCTACCACTGGAAATCAGAAACTGTCAAACAAAAGACTCTTTTCTAACTCATCTGAAGACTCATCTTTTTTCCGCTCACTTCAACAAGTGCCGTTTAGCAGTCATGTTTAATCTCGAAACTAGGCGCTATACAAATCAATCATCATTCAATATATTCAATCACTCTTTCTCCTGGAATCTCTTACATAAATAGCCAACAGCTTAGAATAGTCAATCACCTGGAGATGTCTCGTTGTTCGGGGTGCACAATAAATTGGACAAAATACAACATACAGTTAGTTATAAAACGGGAGGTTCATATATATTGAACAACAAAAGAAATGTCGCACTGATAGGAGTTTCTTACAGCACACACTTTAATTCACTCTAATTAACAATCGAAACAGAGGACTGAGTTCCAACTTGACAATTGTGGTTAACACATTTTCGGGAAACACATTTAGACTTCACACAAGCAAAATCACCAAAAATGGTACCATTAAGATACCCTAAGTCAGTATCGTGTGTGGCCTCTATGGGCATGGAATGAATTAACCGGTCGATGAAGGTCATACGCACTTGGATCCATACTCTGCAAAATGCCTGATCGAGTCTAGCCGTAGTTGTCGGCCTTGGTTTGAGGCCATTCAGTCTTATTTGAATCTCGTCACAAAGATGTTCTACTGGACTTAAATTCGGACTGAGTACAAGATTTTGTAGGGTTTGGATGCCATGCTATCTAAGGAAGTCCTATGTTGCTCTGGCAGTGTGGGCACGACCGTTGTCTTGCTGGAAGATGTGATTTCTGTAACGTCCAAAATGTGGTACAACGTGGGGTCTTATGACTTAATCAATATAGCGAGCAGCTGTCATGTCATTTCTTCATCCTGGACCAAGATTCTCGAACAACATGGTATTAACTAACTGGTTCAGACCAATTGCACCCCACTCTATGATGCTTGGACCTCCCCACGAGTCTCTTTCAACAATACAATCATTGGCAAACATTTCACCACGCCCTAGCCGTACTCTCACTCTGCCATCGACTGTCGAAACACAGTATCGGCTTTCATGGGATAACAGCGCAGTTCTCCATTGTCGATTACGCCAATTTCGATGCTGATGATGCGGTGATGAGCGGTGAGGACAGGACTACGATATGGTCTGTGACAGTAGAGGTTTCTTCCGCGCAAACGTCCACGCACTGTATCGGCACTGATGGGTCTGTTGTGAGTCCAAATGGTCTGCCGTGCTGTTTCCGTCGCTTTGGGGAAGCGATCCTGCAGATGGTTGCGCACAGCCTGCCATTCTTGACGCTGTGATGTTACTGAAGGTCGCCCACTGCGTGGACGGTCTTGGATGCTGTTAGTGACCTGATACCATCCCTGCTGTCCTAACATGAACATTAAAATGATTGGCTACCCTCCGTGCAGTCTGGACAACTTGCAACCGTCCCACGACTTGGTTACCCTGATTTCTCATAAGATGTGGCATGGTGATTGTGTCAAAACAAAAATGAATTCAGGCGAGTTTGGGACTCGCTTTCATTGGTAGGGCTGTCACGACATGCACGTGCATTTTCA